GGCTCATTCTTTGAACAGTGGCTGTTTTGTTTCCCCAATGTATGACTGATCACAGTCCTCCTGACACTTAACAGCATATACTTCAATATAGAGGATTACTCTGTTTTTGTCGGGGAACTGGGTCTTTGGGGTGAACTACTCTTTGTCGTAACAATAGAGCTAATCAAGCCTAATTCAGGTGATGGCCCTCTTTTGAAAATGACTAACCTGTTTGTCCACCATGTGGAGGCAGTGCTTATAAGGCTGAGTTCACCTGAAACTCATCAGACTGAAGAAGTCTCTTGGAGGAGAGACGAAACGTTTCACTAAAGAAGAACCCATCCAGAGGACCTACTTATTTTTTTTTTCTACCTGGATTACTGAGATGCATCAGGATACATAGAATTTTGTTTTTAAGAAAGTTTGAAAATAAAAAAGAAATAAAAATAAAATAAAGATTCTATGTGTCTTCTTTTAGGGGAACATTTAACTAATTTCAGCTCATGTAAAACATATTAGCAAAAGAGTGAACTGTTAAATGTTTAAAAGATTTCATGTTGCGGAAAATAAAGGAATGTGAAACACAAAGGTGCAAACTCAAACAATAAAATAAATATATTAAAAGTAATGTTCTCAGGGTTTGGTATAATTTCTGTGTGATTTTCTATACTTAAACAGATGAAATAATTTACATGTTTAATAGTTTTATTTTCTCCTTTCTATCAAATGTCCCATTAAAATGTAATAAAAGGAGGAAACCAGGAGGTGTTTGTTTCAGTTGAGTCCAGCAGAGAGCAGCAAACACTGGAGAAAAGTCCAGGCAAAACGTTTGATGCACACACGAAGCATGAACAGAAATATATAGAAACAGAACAATCAGCAGTTCAGTGACAGCATGAAACTTCTGGTGAATCTTTGGTATAATTTTATTTATCTATCTGTGTGTAAACTCAATAATACGCAATAATATGTCTCATTATTATTTAACTTATTTTATTTTAAATACAACATATTGAATAAATCTAAATGTACATAATTTTAGTTAAAAAATGTAATTTAGAGTTTAATGGCAGCAACACAATTTTACTGTGACGCATCTGCTTTTCTGTAAACATCAGTCTGTAAACATCAGTCTGTAAACATCAGTCTGTAAACATCCAGGACCTGAGACCAGCTGCTGCAGTTTTTGGATGTGATTCTTGTCTCTCTTTTGTCTGACATGCAGGATTCCAGCTGTTCAACAATCCCGGGTCTGTTCTGTGGTTTAGCAGCGTCTTGCTGAAAAGTGCAAAGCTTTCCCTGAAAAGGACCTCATATGGAGAGAAGCATATGTGGTGTTAAAACTTGCATATATTTTACTGCAGTGATGGTGCCCTTTCCAGATCTGCTGCCAACGCACCCCTATACCATCAGAGAGGCGGTGTTTTGAACTGATAACAGGCTGCAGCGTGTGTGTGGAGTCCATGATTTCTAAAAGGAATATTACATTTTCATTCATCTGACCATGGATCAGCTTTCCACTTCGTCTCAGTTTATTTTAAACACTTTTAACCAGAGATGACCGCGTTTTCAGACTATTTCTTTGCACGATAGAGCTTTAACAAAGCCTTTTTGGATGAGCTAAGTGTACAGAGAACGACTGGTGGAGAGGTTCCTGAACTCGTGCAGTGATGAGCGTAATAAAGTCGGATCTGTTAAATGCAGAGCCACCTGAGGGCCAAAACGTCACGAGTACTCAGTCTTTTCAGCCTTGTTCTTTGTACACAGAGATCATTATGAACTACACCTGGACAGTTAAAGTTTTTAAAAACACTGTTTTTCAAAATGAAAAGTAAAAATCTTTGAGATCTTAAAACATGTGGTGGTGGTAGCTGAGAATGATCTTGAGACACACTGAAGCCAAATCAAAAATCCAAGAYCTCCTACCATAACTAAACGGATGAATTCACAATAACTCTGTCATTTTTAACCCATACTGAGGTGAAATTTGGTACGGGTGGTTGATGACAGTGATCTTAACAAATACTAAAGTCAAACCCTAAATTTGAAATACACGTGGCAAGCCCTTTCATAGTTTCTTCAGGAACTATTTTAGTTTACTTATTTATTGTAATAATTGTTATTGTTTATATATTCAATTGAAATTCAAAAAAACTTTATTGATCCCAGAGGGAAATTAGATGTTGTAACTCATTTAACTAAAGACTTATTGTRGATGCTGATGGCTGTGGGCAGGAAAGGTCTTCTGTAGCGGTCTGTATTACAGCGAAGTTGAAGAAACCTCCGACTGAAGACACTTTGTCTTTCTATGACAGTCTGATGAAGAGGATGGTCAGGGTTGTCCACAATGTTCTTGATTTTATGTAAAATCCTTCTTTGCACCATCATCTCCAGAGATTCCACAGTCGTCCCCAGAACAGAACCAGCTTCTTTATCAGGTTGTTTAGCCTTTTTAGGTCCCTGGCTCTGATGCTGCTGCCCCAACAGATGATGGCAGAAGAGATGACGCTCTCAACAACAGACTTGTAGAAGATCTGCAGCATCTTGCTGCAGACATTGAAGGATCTCAGCTTCCTTAAGAAGTACAGTCTGCTCTGTCCTTTCTTGTAGACTGCTTCTCTGTTGAGTCTCCAGTCCACTTCGTTGTCCAGATGAACACCGAGGTATTTATATTCCTCAACCACCTCCACTTCTTCTCCCATGATGGAAACAGTGTTTGGGTTTGTATATATAAACCCACCAGGTAACCACCAGGCGTCAGCACTGATTTTGGTGCGTWATCTGTCAGACAGGAAGTATTATGGAGAACTAGAGAAAAGGGTGTGGCGCCGCAGGCGTGTGGTGAATGAGTAAGCACAATAAATTCACGGTGATGCAACTGGAGTTTCCTGATTTTTGTTTTTCAAAAACAAACACACAGACTGTGTCACAGTGCCGCCCCGCAGCTCCACTTCAATAAAGGATTTTAAACTAACTTTAGAAAAAGAGAAAATCAACACTGGTAACACAYTGATTACCTTTTCAGTTTCTATAGAGCAGGGGTTCTCAAGCCATTTGGGTCTGCGGACCCCTTACAAGGGTGAAAAAAATTCCAGGGACCCTCTCATCATGCTCTGAGGGAAGGAGGTTGTTCCTTAAAAATCGTCCTGTCCCATGTGCAGAAAAACACTCCCAAAGCATGATGCTTCCACTGCCATGCTTCACAGTAGGAATGGTGTTTTTGGGATGGTACACATCATTCGGCAGTAAGTCAGACTCGTTTCTGGTGAGAGTTGGACTTTGTCACAGATTCTGTTCATAACTTTTATGGACAGAACATCTAGGCACAGCCGAGGTGTTGAGGGGATCTGTTTTGGTGACCTTAGCATCACATCTCTGCTTTTTGCGGATGATGTGGTCCTATTGGCTTCATCAGATCGTAATCTCCAGCTCTCACCGGAGCGGTTCACAGCCGAGTGTGAAGCGGCCGGGATGAGGATCAGTACCTCCAAATCAGAGACCATGGTCTTAAGCTGGAAAAAGGTAGGGTTCCTTCTCCAGGTCAGGGAGGAGGTCCTGCCCCAAGTGGAGGAGTTTAAGTACCTCAGGGTCTTGTTCATAAATGTGGGAAGAATGGAGCGGGAGATCGACAGGCAGATTGGTGCTGCGTCTGCAGTGATGCGGACGCTGTACCGGTCTGTCGTGGTGAAGCGAGAGCTGAGCCAGAAGGCAAAGCTCTCAGTTTACCGGTCAGTCTACGTTCCTACACTCATCTACAGTCACGAGCTTTGGGTCATGACCGAAAGAATGAGATCACAGATACAAAAGGTTGAAATGAGTTTCCTCTGCAGGGTGTCTGGGCTCTCCCTTAGAGATAGGGTGAGAAGCTCRGTCATCCAGGAGGGACTCAGAGTAGAGCTGCTGCTCCTCCACGTCGAGAGGAGCCAGTTGAGGTGGTTCATCTGGTTAGGATGCCTCTTGGAYGCCTCCCTGGTGAGGTGTTCCGGGCATGTCCCACTCGGAGGAGACCCAGAGGAAGACCCAGGGCACGCTGGAGGGACTATATTTCTCGGCTGGCCTGGGAACACCTTGGGATTCCCCCGGAGGAGCTGGTCCAAGTAGCTGGGGAGAGGGAAGTCTGGGTCTGTCTGCTTAGGCTGCTGCCCCCACCACCCGATCCCAGATAAGCAGCAGAAAATGGACGGACGGACTAATCATTCTTCATCCTCCAAACATGGCGAGTGGAATGAAGACCAAAAAGTTCTGTTTTGGTCTCACCTGACCACATAACTTTCTCCCATGACTCCTCTGGATCTGTGGTCATGGGCAAACTGAAGACGGGCCTGGACATGTGCTGATAAAAGCAGGGGAACCTTCCATACCATGCATGATYTTAAACCATGACGTCTTASTGTWTGACCCACAGTAACCTTGGTGGTGCCAGCTCYCTTCAGGTCATTGACCAGCACCTCCTGTGTAGTTCTGGTCTGATTTCTCACCTTTCTTATGATCACTGATACACCACGAGGTGAGATCTTGCATAAAGCCCCAGTCTGAGGGAGATTGATAGTCATGTTTAGCTGCTTCTATTTTCTAATAATTGCTCTAGCAGTTTATCTTTTTACACCAAGCTGCTTGGCAATTGCCCCACAGCCCTTTCCAGCCTTGTGGAGGTCTATGATTTTGTCTCTGGTGTCTTTGGTCTTAGTCATGTTAGTGGTTGGAGTCTTCCTGATTGTGTAGGATGGACAGGTGTYTATGCAGCCAGCGACCTCAAACAGGTGCTTCTAATTTAGAATAAGTGGAGTGGAGGTGGACTTTTTAGAAGTGGACTAACAGGTCTTTGAGGGCCTCTTTTTACTGATTCACAGGTCACATTCCTGAACTCAATTTAAATAATAAATAAAGAAGCTGGTTCTGTTCTGAGGACGACTGGAATCTCTGGAGATGATGGTGCAAAGAAGGATTTTACATAAAATCAAGAACAATGTGGACAACCCTGACCATCCTCTTCATCAGACTGTCAAAGAAAAACAGTGTCTTCAGTTTGGTTGTAATACAGACAGAAGATCTTTCCTGCCCACAGCCATCAGCATCTACAATAACTCTTTAGTTAAATGAGTTACAACATCTAATTTCCCTCTGGGATCAATAAAGTTTTTTGAATTTAAACTTAACTTCGTTTTCTTAACCAAGAGCTGACAACAAAAACCCAAAACAAATATCTAAACTTTTATAAACTACAGTCTGTACAGGGTTCCTACATTTTAAGGCAAGTTAAATTTAAGACCTTTTAAGACTTTTTAATGTCAAGTGAAATTAAATTTAAGATCAATTTCATAACGAACACAAACGACAAAAAATAAAAACTGGCAGAAACTCATAAACCAAAGTATTTTTGGTTGAAGTATTCAAATATTGCTAATGGACCAACTGTTTTTTATCCATTTCTAACTATAGCAAAAACATTCTTAGCAGTCCGTTTTTAACATCTTTTAATTTCAGGAAATCCTCTAACAACCTAAAATTTGGAGTTTTAGGACCCACAGCGGGGTCTTAACCCCAATTTTRAAGTGCCTGTGACATCAATTTTTGTAAGAAAAGTGAATGCATTTTTGGAAAGACAACATTATTAAGATATTAGAAAATAGGGCTGTGTATTGGCAAGAATTTGGCGATACGATACATATCATGACARAGGGGTCACGATATGATATATCTCGATATATTGCGATTTTTTGGTCCAAAAACTCTGTTAAATAAAAACCTCTTACAGGGGGAAAAAAAAGAAAAATCAAAATTCATTGTCTCAGAAAATTCTAATATTACATAGACAT